TTTGACATTTAGTTGTTTAATATTTGGATTTTTAATTGTTAAACACTATATATTGAAGAGTTTCTAATTACATATATATTTGAAGTATTAGCACTTAGAATTGTTATGTTTAATGGTTGCATGGACATTTTACGGAAGAGAAAGTGTTATGCACATTGAATTCATGATTTGTGAAGTAATTTACTTTGTTGGTCGATATTTCCATGTTGTAATATTTGTTTGTATATCACATTTTTTTAATGTTCCTTTGGTATAAAATTTTATGAAAATATTGTACTTTAATTGTTGTTGGGAGAGAGAGTAGATGTTAATAATAGAAGAGTAACATTCTAGACCATCCGAGTGTTGTGAAGATGGTAATCTTAATTTTTTAAAAAAACCATTTCAAATTAATTTAACATGTAAGTGTAAACCCATTAGTGAAGAAAATTTTCGAATAACCATATTTATGTGTATTAATGGACTGAAAATGTAAAGAGAATTTGTCTATTCATTTGAAGATACAATTTGGTAGTGGGTTTAGAAAGACTTCGAGAACGTTTTAATTACGATAAAAAATGAGATCTTGTATTCGGTACTATCAGCAACAAAACTACCTCCTTGGTCACATATCCAGCCAATGCTTCGGCATTGCGTGGACCCTCATACCTGTAATAAGAAAACATCATTCACAATCCAATAAAGAAAACTTTATCCAGTAATAGATTTGCTTCGGTTAAATTCTTACTTTACGGGTTCAAGTGATCCTTTAGGAAACCATTGAATGGTTGGATATCGACTAACACCATATTTACAGCAGACAAGCTTATGGTCATCACAATCCACCTTTAACAACCACAAATACACAAGTTAACGAAACAAGTCGATAATCTCTCAAACATTAGAGGTACATACAAAATAATAATAACACTAACCTTTGCAATTAACACTGGTTTTAGCTTTCTTGAAACTTTCCCCAAGCTTTTCATACCGGAGCAAGTTTCTTGCAATAGTCACACCTATAATGACACATATAAACCATCTTAAAACTTTCAAAAGAAGAAAAAGATCAAAAACTTCCTCCTCAAGTTTCGAATTCTGAAATTCACCAGCACATCAGTGACCCTAGTTGCTCAATATAACATATAAATCGATTAGATACTAATAGTAGTCATGCCTATCACTCCAGAAGACCGCAATCACAAATCCAAAGCATTTAGAAACAAATCAAACATAAGATTTACAGATCGCATCGAAATCCTTGAATCTATATATAGCTTAGCTACTTAGATTTAAAAGATTCAAAACAATTGAAATATAATTGATCCATACCAAGGAGCGTAAAACTCGACAAGAGCTCCTTTATCTTTGGTGCCCTCCTTCTCGAAGCTATCGTCTGTCAAAACAACAACATTGTCTGTTATGGCCGAAACCTAAAGCAACGCGAGTAAGACAAAACCAAACCAGATTTGTTATGAGCCCAAATAGTTAAATTCTCAAGGATGAGAAGTTGTAGAACATTAATACATAGACGGAAAAGCGGGATTAAATGATCTTGATAGAATTGTTTGATTGGTACATAGGCTATGTACTGGATAAATGTAGAATATATATGATACACAACTCACCAAAAGTTAGTTTATTAGTTTCTATGCTTTTTTTTTGTACAAAAGTTTCTATGCTTTCAAACAAAAAATATAAAAATAAAAAGTAATTTAGTACATTTGACCCAAAAAAAACAATTTTACTTGCAACTTTTTTAATGAGAGACGGTTTTAGATACATATAGACAAAAACATATGGTTCAGTCATAAGAATTTGGGTAATATTGGTATTGGTTAAGAGAAATTTAACATTTAAATCACTTATTTATGAAATTATGAAAAATTATATTAAAAAATCCCGCGTGTATACGCGGGTGTTCATTATACGCGGATGTTCATTTAGTATATATCAATTTGCGACCATTTGTTAAACTTCTAGCAAATTCCAACGATAGTGGATTTTTCTAAAATGTTCAATCCGATAATTAAGTCACAAATTATATCAGGAATTTGTGCATGTAGAAATATGTCAATCCGAGATTAATGCAATAAAATTTTCATTTTGCTAATGTATAAATATTGATATTCTACCATTACACTTAACTTTCCTTTTCTTTCAATACAATGTATTCAAACAAAACCTAATAACGTCATTTACATCTCATTGAAGACTTCTTATATATATACGGCCTAATGCAAATCAAACAAATAGTATTCATCAGAAACACACATAATTTGATCCTCACAAATTAAAAGATGGCAATAATCCAAAAAACACAACTTCTTGTGGTGATAATATCTCTACTCATCCAAATAGCTCTCTCACAAGTGGAAACCATTGCTTCAGATGATTATGTTCAATGGTCTTTCTTCAAATCAACCGTGAAGATCACGAATCGCCTCGGTGATGGTTCGACATTAAACCTCCATTGTAAGTCTAAAGATGATGATCTCGGTCTCCAAATTCTTGCTCCGAATAGTTCATGGTCGTTTAGGTTTAGACCAAATGTTTGGGGAACGACAGTGTTTTCTTGTCATTTCACATGGCCTCGAGCATCAACACATTTTGATATTTACGATGATTTTAGAGATGGTGTTCGTAAGGGTATTCCATGTATCGTTTGTTTCTGGAATATAAGCAAAGATGGGCCATGCAGGTTTTACGAGAAAAATGATGCTTTTGATATATGTTATGATTGGAATGGGACTCGAATTGAAAAAATGTAACTTGTTTTTGGAACTTTTTGTATAATGAATAAATGGGAGAGAATAATATGTTGTGTTGCAAGCAAACAAAAGGTTCACTTTAATTTGGATTTAGGTTTGTTAAAACTTAAAAGTAATTGTGAG